TCCTCTCCCGTAATGTTTGCCCCCATCCTTCAACGGCACGTGCTCTCTGGAAGCCTGCCTGCTCTGTCTGAGGCAAATCCCCAAAACGGCCCCCGTAAGACTACCCCAAGGGAGCTCCCAAAAAATTGAGTCGGGCAGCAGCCCATTTTCCTATCGTCGGGGCTTCTGCCCCGCCAAAAGGCACCCTGAAGAATCACAGTGATGAGCTGGCTTACCTCCTTGGATAACAAGCTTCTTTGGGTAGATGGGATATCTTTAACTGGACCAACTAAATCATTGGAAAGATTGTTCTTGGCAAGCTTTTGGGCTGGACAACAGTCAACAGGAGATACCAAGCTGGCAAGTTTTTAAAGTACAACCGCTGATGGCACTGCTATAAATAGTCTACAAATGCAAAGCCCTACTTTATTACAACTCAAAACACTATATTTATTAGGGCTGTGTGAAATTTTGCTGGCTGTTTTGTTTTGACACTGTTTCGACTCATTTCAAAGTCAAAACAGCAAAATCAAAATGAAACAAAGGGCTTTGAAACAGCCTCGAAACAAAACGAAGCTAGTTGAAACCTTTTGAAAGTTGAAAATTTTTGACCACAGCACTAGGGATGGAAGTCAATCTAGCTGGGCTGACCCCCCATCCCCAGCCTGATCCAGCACAGGGGATGGGGAGTCAGCTGACTCCCTGTCAGCAGGGCTGATTCCCTGGCCCGCAAAACATCAAAACAGAATCGAAACAGCCTCACTATTTCAACAAAGCAAAACGGAACAGCTATTTCGAATCGAAATTAAATTCGATGCGAAACACGGTTCTGTCGAAACCTCAAAACTCAAGGCGAGACAGAACAGTGCCGTTTCGCACAGCCCTAATATTTATTACTTTTAAAACATAATAATACATTAAAAACATGCTCTGAAAGACTCCAAAATATGTTAAAGCATTTGAAAGAAGCTCCAGGTTTGTAGCAGTGGGTATATATAAAGAAATAGGAAATGATGCCAGTAATAGATATTTTTGATTGATTTTTTTCACATACTCAGGGACTGATTCATATAACAGCAAGGGCATTGGGATAATAGGTCTTTGAAGTGGGAATGAACTGTGTGGTTCATTCATCTCTGCTCCCCACGTCCTCTACGGGTGTGACATATCAAAGCCATTTTAAGTACCTGGAATGGTTCCCTCAGCCTCAGGTGGATCCTTCGCATTAGATGGAAAGACCACTGCACCCAACGCCAGCATCCTCTCTGCAGCTAATGTGACCAGCATTGAGACAAAGATCATGAACCATCAACTCAGCTGGGCTGGCCACTGTGTGGAGATGGCTGATGCTCACCTCCCAAAGCAAGTCCTCTTCTTTCAATTTAATCATGGTAAGAGGACCCGTGGATGTTGGCAATGCGTAAGGGGTGCACATGCACCCCTTGAGATTGGCGGTGCACCCCCTGAGAAAAGTGCTGCCAATGCTGCTGGCAGCGCATGTGAGCGGTTGCCACTCACCACCTCCCCTCCCTCACTGCTGGTGGTGTCTGCGGGCAGTTGCTGACCACCAGTCGGTGCTTGCCACTCTTCCCCACCACCAACACCACCACAGCCGTCTGCAGGAGTCTTCTACTCGGCCTACTGCTGACACCAGTGAGGCTGCCTGCAGAAGCTCACCACTCGCTGCTGCCATGGCACTGCCGCCTGCGGGCAGTCGCTGTGCCCCTCCAGCCTCTGGAAGCACACGTCATCCATGCTCGTGGAGGATGGAGAAAGCGCTACAAGGACACCTTGAAAGCATACGTAAGAAGGGTGGCATCAACCCTACAAATTGGAAAAAGCTAGCTGGTAACAGGTCTCAATGACACTGCACCATACATCAAGCTACAGCCTGCTTCAAAGAGAACCATCTTGCTCAGGAAGCTGAGAAATGGCAGAGGAAGAAGGAAAGCACACAACATCCAACAGTCTGTTGTGTCCCTCCCCCCCCCCCCCCCCCGCAAGATCCCACTTGTAATCTCTGTGGAAAAAATTTGCAGAGCACAAATTAGACTCCCCAACCACCTTAAAACTCACCAGTAATCCCCCTTGGCAGACATCATCCTTGTATCAAGGGATAGCTGATGACTCCTATTTTTAAGATCCATTTTCTCAATTAGAAACAAATGTTCCGTTAGTCATCTACTGCAGTTATATTTAAATATATAAATAATTGTTAGGGTATAACCATTTGAGACCTACATTTATTTCTTTCATAATTTGCTTATTCTTCCCAGATTATTGTCTTTGGCAGAGCCTGCATCAATTAAAATAATCAGGTTATCATGTCATATTATGTCCATATATATACATACCCTTTAATTAGTAATAGTAATGTTTTATTTGACTTTCAGAGATTTAGAAAATTTAGACGAATGTGTTCTGGTGAAATTATTGAACAGATCCTGACTACATTTTCCTAGTTCCTAAAAAAAAGAGCATCTATTTAAGTTTGAGTTAAATAGTGCTACTTAATATCTATGTCTGATGCTAGATATTGCCTGATCTGAGCTTTGAGAGGAGGTAAAGGGAGCGTCCTATAAACAAAGCTGTAAGGCTATACTAATTTTGATAACAAATACTATTTTAACAGTTGAGAAGCAGGTAAAGAGACAGGCCAGCATTTTATATGCCCTATATTCACTATTAACTAAAGAACCCAAAAACTTTTGATTCAGAACTGCTAAGAATTATAGTGACCTACCTTCAAGAACCAAAAAGTAAATCCAGAAGAGCGAGGATTATAGTTGCTGTCCTTAAAGCACTGACAAGCCCGTAAAGAGGATTGGTCTAAAAATGGATTTGGCAGCAGAATGCATGAAAATCTTGGCTTGTAGATAGAGAACTATCATTTGTGGATTTAGCCTTAGGGTTTTTTCCTGATCTATAATTCATGTTCTTAAAATGGCAGAAGGTTCTAATATATACCTGGCCTGTTCTGGAAGGCACTGGAGGATTTAATGTTGTAGGTGTGCCTGTAACTAGGAGCAGTAGTGACACTCCTGTGTCACTTCAATATATCATTAATAGTATACTTACTTCTTCTGAATCATATGTTCCTCTCTGTGGCAGGGGAAAGAGCAAGAAATCAATGTGGCATAACATCTAATGATTTCCTTGGTAGAAAGCATTAGGACAGGGGTTGTCAACTGGAGGCACATGTACGCATGGGCAGGGAAGGACAGAACGCTGCTGCCCAGGAGCAGGGCCAGGGGGTAAAGGGCAGTGGTGTCCCTCTGTGAGCCACACAGGTGCTGCCTGCCAGCTGACTGGATGCGGGGGGACGAAGGGGAGCGGGAGAAGCTTGCATGCGGTGGCCCTCACCACCATCCACCACCCCATGCTTTCCCACGGCTGGTTGCGCATGTGGCTTTGCAAGCTACTGACAGGCGGCACATAATTGGCCGGGTGTGAGGCCTGTTGGCAGCCGGTGGAGGCGCATGGCACACGTGAATGGCCATGGCAAAGGAGCGTGTGGTAGGTGGTACCAGTGGCTGCCGTATACAAGCCACCACCCCCACTCTGCCTCCAGCCACCACAATGAGAAGGGGTACACTTCTTAAAAAAGGTTGAAAACCCCTGCATTAGGAAATACGAAATCGTGCTAAGAGCTGTAATTATTAGTTTGACATACACAGGCAATTGAGGGAAAAATGAAACAGATGAGTGTATAGAAAACAAACTTTCACAAAATGAAAATGGTCAACTTTTTGGAATCTGCAGCTCATTTAAAATCACACATTTACATTATGTGCCAAAGACTGCATTCCCAAATGCAGGTTCATGCTACTTACTGTACATTTCCTATTCTGCACTGGATGCTGACAAAGTTGGGAGGATTAGTCCAGACAGCAAAAGGCTAAGAGAATAACGCTATATATGTAGCATTGATGGGATAAGCTTGGATGGCTTTAAGTTTCCTGTAAAGTGTGAAGGCACAGAGGGATCTATCTTATTGCCACTGTCATCAAGGGCAGGATTCCCGCCAATGGTAAAGAGGAAAATTTCACAGAATAGCATGAATAAGATTTCCCCTCAAGCAAAACAGGACATACAAGTACTTTGTGATCATATGAAAAGACCTGAATTCTGGGAGATACACTATTTTTTTTAAAACACAGCACCAATAGTGAAACTTTTTCTCACCCAGAAAGTCAAGACTGATCTTCCCTGGTTTTCCTGGGTAGCTTCTCAGGAATGTCAAGTATACTGAATCCTAACTAG